AGCCTTGGGCTTCAGTTCTGCCTCCTGCTCCCAGCCCACTGGAGCTAGAGTCTTTTCTTCACTCAGACAGCTGCTGGCTGCTGAGGCTGCCAAGCCCAAGGTTGACAAGTAAAACGGCACAGTCCTGATGTTACCAAACCACATGGCAGGCCATTAATTCAAATCCATTGAAAGTCTCAAGGTCGGCAGAGCATGGCAGGCTGCTCAACAATGACACAGCTACATGCAGGGTTCAAGCGTGCCATAAACTAGAGACCATTGCCAAAGCTGTTTCTTATATACGGGAAACAGACCACATACTCAAAGCAGCTACTAAGCTGCTTGTGGTAAATCCCACCATGGAACTGATTTCCAGTCTCACCATGGGGAATAACTACCACCAGCTGCCTAGCCACTCAACCAGGCTCAGCCAAGTTGACACACAACCTTAACCACCACAGTTATCTCATCAAATTCTCTCATTTTCAGATTAAGAGACTCCTAGAAAAGTCAAGTGGCAATTTCAGTGATATACAACTATTTAGTAGCAGAACTTGCTGTAACACCTAGATCTCAGAATTCTTTCCTATGCCTTCAGTTTAAGTTCATTACACTCAATTGACATGTATGCTTCACATTTTTAGGGTCCTAAGGGGAAAAAAGGAACACCTGGCCCATCTGGGAAACCTGGAATTCCTGTAAGTAACAGGCTTTTTTCACCTTCCTTGTTTTTCTAAATAGAATAATCAACTTTAGTAAGCAAAAACATTTTGGAGCCAATTATGACAAATGTTGGATAAATCAGATTGTGATTTAAAACATGGAACAAAACATGACCATTTAGTCCTAAATCAAGCTTGCTGTTGGAGGCAAGTCCCTACAACTGAAGGATGCTCTTTTCCAGTGTTATGCGGCCCTCCACCTCTCAGATGACAAACCACCAAGAAACTGGCAACTTGGAATCATGACAAAATACATGGTATTGAAAGTCAGAGATCTTCAAGCAATAATTAAAAAGATATGAGCTATATTTTAATTGGAGGATTCAGCCTCTAATTCTTCTGGCAAATAGAACAAAAGGTCTTAGAAAAATTAAAAAGAGGAAAAAATCTTTCCATCACAGAGCAAAGTATATTTTCCATTAGTCATCAGTAACTTCTGTGGCCAAGAAAGTGTATGTTGATGGACTTATTAGCAAAGAGTTCCTGCTGGTCTCCCCTGACCAGAGACTAGATGTGTGCTTTGGGGGCCTGTATTGGCTCAAAAGATGTAGAGAAAATGAACATAAATTATAAGTACATCCAGATCAGAAGAGAACACTACAGATAAAATCCAATTGCCAAGAGTAGAAACAAAAAAAAAAAAAAAAAAA